CCACCCCTCTTAAAGCATGCTGGCTGGGGAATTCTGGGAGTGGAAGACCACCCCTCTTAAAGCATGCTGGCTGGGTAATTATGGGTGTTGAAGTCCTCCTGTCTTAAAACACAGTGGCTGAGGAATTCTGGGAATGGAAGCCCACCCCTCTTAAAGCAGGCTGGTTGGGGAATTCTGGGAGTTGAACTCCACCCCTCTTAAAGCAGGCTGGTTGGGGAATTCTGGGAGTTGAACTCCACCCCTCTTAAAGCCTGCTGGCTGGGGGATTCTGGGACTTGAAGTCCACCCATGTTAAGATTGCCAAGGCTGAGAACCCCCACCCCACCCCTCCCCTGTGAGACAGCTGTGTCCTTACAAAAGTTCAATTCTCACATGTCGAATCCTTTTAAGTGCCCTCCGTCAACAGTTGTGCTGGTGGCACAACTAAATCCGAGCGAGGCTGGGGGAGCTTTGAACATGTGTGTCCCCCCCCCACGACCCCCCCTGTGCTGTTTCCAGCAAAGACACTTTTCCATCACACCCAAAGTGTTGGCTCTTTGCAGAAGCTGGCTGGGGCACAAACGAAGAGGGGAAAGTGTGCCCCTGTGTGTGTGTGTGTGTGTGTGTGTATGTGTGTGTGTGTGTGTGCTGAACTGCCTGTCCCATCCTCCTCTTGGCCTACCACACGGAAGGCTCTATTCTTAGGTGATGACTCCTGGCTGCTATTCTTAGCAGAAAATGCTGCCTCATGGCCCTGGAAAAGATGCCAGCTCCCAGCCAGGGCCTGCAGCACGAAGCCCACCCCTTGGCCAGCCAACCCCACGGAGGGGAAATGGTTCCTCTCTGCCTTGGTGCCAACGGAGAAAGGGGGGGCAGCGGATGGGACGCCCTGGACCCTCCACATCGGACAGTGAGAACAATGAACCAGTGGAATAGAAGTTGCCTTCAGAAATCGTGGGCGCTCCATCACTGGAGGTTTTTAAGGAGAGGCTAGACAGTTATCTGTCTGAGATGATATAGGTCCTCCTGCTTAAGCAAGGGGCTGGACTAGAAGACCTCCAAGGTCCCTTCCAGCTCTATTCTATTCTATTCTATTCTATTCTATTCTA